GGTAATGGCCCACAGCTGTGGGAGGACCAGGCCACCTGGATATGGTGCTCAGCCCAGCTCCCCCTGCAAGAGGGACAGTGGCATACAGAGCGTCAGTGAGAACATCTAGGTAAGGATGGTATGTGAATCCCAAACCTCCAAGGAGGAAACTGGGTGTGCCTTCCCCTCCCGGCCCCTGACGAACACAGGAGAGAAGGAAGGAGCGCCCTAACAGAGGGAAGTGCCCAGAGAAGGAAGGGGCTGCCCCAGAGGGAGGGAGCACCCCTGTGCTGACAGCAGGTAGCCGGGCCATGTGGACCGGGCAGCGGGGCCAGCACAGTGTGGCTACCCAAGTGGGCCCAGCCAAGGGCCCCTTTAGCCTCAGCACCTACTGGGGCAGGGAAGGCCTGGGGGAGCACAGGGCAGATGAGGGGAAATGGGGGAGGCCAAGAAAATGGGGTGGTGGCAGGGTCCCGGAAAGGCCTAGGGGGCAGGCCAGGGGGTGGGGTGTATGTGCAGCAGGCTGGGGAAATGAATGCCCAGGGGATGGCGGCAGGATAGGTGCGGGGTGTGTCCAAGTGAAAACGCGGCGCCATTAGACGGTCAGGAGTGGAGCGACAAGACGGCTGGGAGGCCTACGGGGACGGCCGTCTCCAACTTGTTTTCTAAATGGGCCCTCCACCTAACACTTCACTTGATAAAACCACTCAAAACAAAAACAGAGGTTTCAAGCCACAGGAGCTGCCAGCCTGGCCCTGGTGTTTCGAAGCCCAGCCCTCTCAGGACAGAGGACACTCACACTTCTTCTGCTGCTCCCGGATGTTCTCCCTCCACTCTGCACGCTCATAGTCAGAGGAGATCAGGAACGTGTAACTCTAGGGTGGGCGAGAAGAACAAACCCAGTTATCTCCACCCTGGCTCTGCGAATGCCCGGCCGGCCTGGGGTACCTTGGAATGCGCAACCCACACCTCCAGCTGGCTGGAGCCCAGTGGCCAGGTGTGCTCACAGCCCGGAATGTCGCTTCTGGCACTCCCTGCCCTTCTTGCCAGCTGGGTGTCACAGCACCTCTGGCACAAGCTCTTGCCCAAACTACACGTGTGAGGGTGTGATGCCAGCAGAGGTGCACAGCTAAGGGACATGGAGGTGACCAGGTGGGAACTGCAGAGGTGAAGGTTGATCTAGACCTGACCTCCTGCATTCAACCCACAAGCCCCACACTAGCCCAGAGACAAGGCTTCTGCAGAGTCCACCAGCTGCCTCTCCTGGCCAGCCTAGAAAACAAGCCATTCTGCACGTTGACAGGTGCGTGTCATGCCCCTGGAAGGAAAGGCCCAGGCTACAGACGGCACCAGGAACCAGACTCAGGACAGAAGGTGCATCTTTGACCCTCAAGGCCCCGGGACAGCATCCCTGTACCAAGGACCAGGTCTGCACAAACCTGCTAGGTGCCCCTGTCCTATACCCACCTTGGAGACCCAGCCCACTCCCAGCTGTGGAAGCTGAGCCAGCTGCCACTCAACCTGAGGGCTGTGGCCCAAAACCCCAGAAAAAGGAACGAGTGTGCTTGCATGCGCCATGCTGGACAAGCCTCTCGGCGCAGGGTGCATCCAAGTGAAAATGCGCTGCCATGAGACAGTCAAGAGCCCATCCCAGGCCAGAAGAGCAGGAGGGGCCGGCGTGGCGGGGCTCACCTTGCCGTTACGGCTGTGTACCCTGAAGGCCATGCTGGGAGACATGAGCAGCAGCAGCGACTCCTGCTCCGACAGCTTCTTCTTCAGCCTCTCCGTGGCCTTGCTGCCCTTGTTCGCCCTCTGTGGGGAGATGCCACAACCTCACCTTCGCATTCCAGCGCCCCATACAACGCACTCCCGCTCCATCCACCCCCACCACCAGCAGTGTTCAGCCTGCAGAGGGCGAGAATCCTGTGTCTCCACTCAGCAGAGCCCAGGGCCCCAGACTGCTGCTGGTGGTGGCCTTTGGAGGACAGGACAGCCTTGTTACAGGGTCAAGGCACGGCACACGCTGCGGGACATGCTTGGAGCCTTTCTTGGAGGAACGAGGTCTTTCCTCTCATAAGGGTGGAGAGAAGAGACTCACAAACAACCCTGCCTTTCATTTTCTCCCCAATTCAGACAATGTCCAGGGGGCTGTTGCGACCTAGAGGGTCCCTCACCCGCTCCCTAATCCAGTTAGATTTCCACATTGGGCCCAGTGGGCATATTTGTGGAGGTCCCAGCAGAAGGGCAGACGACTCTCAACAGAACATGGACAGGTGAGCCCTTCCTATGTTGAGCTGTGTGGATCCCTCTAGAAGCCACTATCCTTGGGGAGAAAATGTGCTGCCTGTCACCAGATAGGGCCCCTCCCATCCCCCAAAGAGCTGAACATGGAGAGTGCAGTAGTCACACTCAACAGGCCTCAGCTGCCCTCAGGGTGCGGCACCGGCCCCTACTCTGCATGGGGACAGCCCACCACGTAGGCCACAGTCCCACAAGGACGAACAAGACAATGTTCACCCCAGTCTTGAAGCTCCCCTGTGCTCCTAAGTGTGCTGGGTTTGGGTGCAGCAGGCTGGGCAGCTGGACAAGGGCTGAGGACTCCGGTCCCGCTGTGTCCACCCTACCTGGGCGTCCCTGGGCCCGGGCCCAACCTTTTTGCCACCCACCTCCTCTGGCCTAGCTAACCAGATTGAGGGGCTTGTCCTCACCATTTTTACAGTCTTCAAACATCTCTGGAGAAAACTAAGTGCCTGTAGTCCCAGACACCTGGAGGGGTGGCACCCCCACCTGGGCCTGGCCCCCCTCAGGGTAGCTGAGCAGGGGACAACCAGCCCCTCCCCTAGGCCCCGCATCCTGAACCATTCCAAGCCCTCCAGCATCTGGCTGTGACTTTCTCCGGTGACTTGGCACTTCACCCACAAAATGGAACCACAAAGCAAAGGGCGCTGCCTGGGCATCAGGAGACCACACACTTGAACTCAAGCCAGTGGCCAGAGGTGAGAACCCAGAAGCCTCTCTCCCGCCTGGCTGACTGAGCTCCTGCATTCCTGCTGCTTCCTTAGAAGGACCATCCAGGCATTTGCCTGTGAACTTAAAGTGTCCACACCCCATTCCTTAGAAACACTGTTAGCTGTCATGCATGCTGTCTCTATCTCTCTGACTCTTCACTTGTGCCTCGTGTGACCCAGGGACAGAGGCCTGCCCTCCCTCCTCATGACACCTCCTTGTCCAAAACCTGTAGGTAAAAAATCTCGGAACTAGTTTCCCATGGTGGTGGTGTGTTTCCGAAAAGCGAGGCGGTGTTTTCCTAGGTCATGTTTTCCCAGGGATGCCGGTGAAAACAGATCAGGCTCCCAGTGCCACAGCAATGGCCAGGCAGGCATAAACTGGACACAGTTCAAACTTGCCAGTGTAAACACGTTTCCCTCGTGAGGGACCCCTGGTCACAGATGAGATAACTAAGCATGCGGCCGTCCACCAGGTATGAGAAGTATCCCGTGAAAGGCACACTGCAGAGGCCACGACCGGTTCCCTCCGTTCTTCTGGAAGGCCGGGTTGGCAGCCCCTCTGGTATGGTGCTCCGCATTAAGCTGAGGGTTCTCAGAATAATCGGGCACCTAGCTGTGCCCAGATGCCCAGCCCTCCAAGACCTGAGAGCTCATACATGTCCCAGAGACCAGACCTGGGGCTCAGAGGCCTGACAGAGAGAGCACCTGCTGGCCGTGTGTGGGGGCTGCTGCCCAATAAGAAGACCACACAGAGCCCGGCCCTGGCTTCCCCCACCTCCCCCTGCCATGCACCTTCTCTCTCTGAATGTCACTCTTGATCTGGGAGATCTTGATCTTCAGAGCGTCCAGCTCCTCGTCCGGCACCAGGGGGATGTTGGGCACTGCCTCCGATTCGTCCACCATCTGGAAGCTGAGGTCCGTGAGTGGAATGTACCATTTGCAGTCGTACTGCTGGGTTTTGCTGGGGGTGGGGAGAGAAGAACACTGACATGCACCAACTACCTTCCACGGCTGATGTCACTGCTGTCAAGAACCCAAGAGCCGTGTTCCTGACCACACATGGTTTACCCGACCTAAACCCAGCCCGTGTTCCACGTCACCGACTGGGATGAAGCCACTGGCAGGCGCTGGTGGCCCCAGCCTCAGCCTCAGTGATTCCTGGGAACAGACACTCTGAACACGTGATCCCAGGCCCCAGGCATCTCAGGAGTCTAGATGCATCTTATCCTATGCTGACGCTAAGGTGGAGGGCTCATGTGGGAGCACGTCAAGGCTGCACGGTGACAGGACAGGACTGAAGTCCACCCCCAGGGCTGTAGGAGTTTCAACGACTGTAGATAAAGCTGGCGTCATCCCCTCGCCTGACAGATGGGGGAACTAAGGCTCTCCTCTGAGTTGACTGATTAAACCCACTCAGCAGGGCAGGATGTGGGGAAGAGCCTGTGCTGGTCTTCCCGGTGTGGCCTTCTTTGCTCCACTCCAACCTGGTGCGACCTGGGTGAACCCAATCCCCGGAGGGAGGAGGGGAGTGTGTGCAGGGCTACGCTGAGAATAGCTCAGAAGCCAACACCCAGCACTGCCCGCAGCCCTGACTTCAAACGGTCCGGAGGTGGCCTTTCTGCAACGCTCCTGGAAGTCATGGTTGGGTTTACCCCTCGCTACAGGAGTCCAAGCTGGTCCCCAGGATGCCCCATGACGTCTCCTGCTAGTGACAATCTTTAACCTGGAGCCTGGCATTGTGCCCAAGTAGCAACGGAAGGTAAAAAGAGCACCTAGCTACATCACTGCTGGCCTCCGCCAGGACGGACCCTCCACGCCCTGAAGCGTCAGCACAGACGGGGTCGCCGCCGGGATGGGACCACATCATTACTCACCCTCCGCTCTGTTTCTTGAGCTTGGTGCAGAGAAGCAGGTCGGTGAAGAGGAAGACATGGCGCAGCTTGCGGGCCCCCTCCACCAGCTCCACCATGAAGCTGTCCTTCAGCAGCTGCCGGTGCTGCGGGCACAGGGAAGGCCGGGGTCAGGGCCAGCCTGGGGTGATGGGTGGGGTGTGTTCGGCCCTCCCAGCCCAGCAGGAGCAGGCTAACCCAGAGACGTTCTCTCTGGGAAGATTTCACTCCTTCCACATCTGCCCCTCACACTTTCCAGAACGTTTTGTTCATCTCACAGTCCTGCTGACAGATCAGGGCTTATGTGTAACTTCCCTGTTCAACAAATTTCCCGGTCCCTCCTGTGTGCTCAGCCTTTGGAAGAGGGCGAGAGGATGGGGGAGGGGGAGGTAATGGCTGTGGGTCTGGAGGGGCACACAGCCAAGTAAACGGTCTGCTGTGAAGACGGGTGATGGGAGGACCCACTTTAAACAGGGCAGCCAGTGCCTCTCTGGGGTGGCAGGTGGAGATCTAGAATTGGCAAGAAGCCAGCCGTGCCAGGAGCAGGTATTTCTGAAGAGGGACCATGTCAGGCACAGGCCCTGTGGTGGGAAGAGCTTGGTGCTGGAGGTTCAGTGTGGTCTGTGGGTGGAGATGGGCCCCGTGCACTCTGGAAGTGGCAGCCCTCGAGGTCACGGCAAAGGGTCGGGCCTGGTTCTGAGGGCAGCAGGAACCCGGGCCCATGCCTGGAACTCCTGGTCCTCCCAACTAGACAGGATGGGCAGGGTCCCCGGTGTGCGGGGGCCACACCTCTGACGCCTGCCTGGACACCCGAAGCCCGAGAGCAGGGTTAAAGCGGAGCGCAGGTGGGGAGCTCAGGGCAGGGGCACAGGCTGCTAATAAGCCGCGTGCCTTTCTGCCTCTTGGTCTGCATCTGAAAGGCAAGGGTTGGTCCTTCTTGCTCAAGAGGCTGCTGAATGGGCATGTCTAGGTAAGTCACCCCTGCCTGGTACCTCACAGGGTTGGGCACTATGCAGAGGGCATGGGGACAGGATGAGAGGCTGTCGCAGCAGCCTTCCCCATGCTGGGACCAGAGCACTGCATGAGGACATCGCCTGAATTATTTGATCCAATCCCTACAACAGCCTGGAGGCAGGTCCTTAATGAGAAAACTGGGCTTCAGCGAGGCCCACACTGTCCCAGGCAGCAGAGAGCAAGCGGCAGCATTCACAGGTCTCTACACTCAGGAGCCCACAACCTCATGGGAGAAAGACCAAGTGTTTAGAGGGCACCCAGCCCCCCTGGTCTCAGGGAAAGCTCACAGGGAGGACGACCCCCGCCCTGTGCTGAGAGCCAGTGGGTCTCAAGGGAGTCACCTCAACAGAGGGTGTGAAAATTCAGTCTCCCCACAGGAGCTGCATCTGTCCCATCTCAAGAAGTGATGAGGTCCTGTGCTCTGGGTGAGCCAGGCTGGTTCTGGGGCCAGACCAGGCGCCTCGCCCTGCTGTCACTTGCAGGCTGAGGTTCTTCTCAGGGAGCCTCTGTCTCTCTGAACTCTCCTGCACTCTGGGGCCGGAGGCAGCAGAGCTCCCCATTAGCATGTACAGTCTGGGCCAGGCCTCCGACACTCTCAGGGTGGAGGCTGCATGTCACCATCATAAGCAGCTTGGCTCACGACAGCCAGCCGGCTCTGATGGGGGGAACGATGACTTATGCAGGGGCCGCTGGTGCCCATAAGTGGAAGGCTAGGAAGGTTGCCGGCGTGCCAAGGCCGTGACTCACAGGCACTCACCCACACCCCACCTGCCGAGGGCAGACAGCCACCTGGTGACAGCACCCACAGGAAGCAAGAAACAGCATGTGCACCTGGAGAAACATCAGGCAGAGCTGGAGCACTGAAGCTGGGTAATCCCCACTGATGGGTCCGCAGCGGGGACCAGGTCTGGGTAGGATCCTAGGACACCGAGGTCCTTAGGGAAGGACTGCAGGATGTCTGCTTGGCAGGGACACAAGAAAGGGCCTCCCTGCCAAGGAGGAGGGGTCTCAGGCACCTTCCCTGTGGGGCACTAACGGGGCTGGACGGCCGGCAGCCTTCTTCCTACAAAGGCGCTGAGCTTCTCGCCATCACCAGCAGAGGGCACCCCATGCTCAGCTCAGAAGCCGCAGACCCGGCCCACTCTGCCTGTGTGCCAGGAACGCAGCTGCCTCTCCAGCAGAGGTTCCCCGCAGCCCACCTCAGAGGCACCCTCGGCCTTCAGCAAGGCCACCGATGTCACACTGGACGCCTGTAGCACCCACATGCCGGCGTGCCACACTGAGAGGACCCAGGCCTGACTGTGGGGAGGACGTGGCCCCTCTGGAGTGTGGACTGCAGGCCCAGGAGGCTTGGACAGTGGACTCATGATTCTGGGCTACTCTTTTGATGCCACCACAGCCTCCAAACCCCCACCCACCCGTGCAGCTCTCATCTGAGAGAAGCCCTAATCCATAGGCACTCCAGCATGCCACAGCATCTCAGGCCCTGCTCTGCAGTCCCCATCACCCAGCCCCTGCCCTCCCAGCCCACACAGCACCAGCAAGGAGCTGGGAGGCCACGTGGCGTAGTTCACTGCCTGCCCAGGAGATGTCCCTCTCAGAAGTGCTCAGCAGCCTGGTCCCCGGCCCAGAGTACAGGATGCTCAGCCTTGAAATCAGCCCGGGCTTCCCTGCACAGTCCACTGGAGTCACATGCTTCAGGGCACATGGCTAGGGTGGACCGGGGCCACAGTCCTGACTGCAGCCCAAAGCCAGCATAAGGCCACGTGGCTGGAAACCACTGTCCCTACGGCTCAGCGTCTCTCCAGGGCAAACACCCCCAGCTGGAGCGGGGGGACAGAGAGGGCCGGGGCCTCACTGAGACCTGGGACGGCACCACGGTTCGGAGAGCTGGCTTGCCGGGCTGCGGGAGCCCGTGTGTGAAAAGGGCGCATCGGAGGATCCCATGTGTTCTGCGTCTGCGTCTCTGTGTGTCCCTGTGTGCATCTCCACATCTCCGGGTGTATCCACTCTCGTGTGAGTGCCTGAGTGTGTCCTTGTGCGTGGAACCCCATGCGGGCCTGTGGCCTGGGGAGGTGTGTGTGCCCATGTGTCACTGTGTGCCTCTCCATGTTTCTGTGTGTGTGTGTTCCCGTGCTAGGGCATGTCTCTGTGTGTCAGGCCTGTGTGTGTGCCCTGGTGCAAGTAACCCCGTGTGGGCATCATCCCCGTGTGTGCTGCAGGGCGGGGCAGTGGGAGAGTAGGCCCCCACTGGCAGGGCAACACTTCCTTTGGGGAGCCCCCCCTCCAACATCCCAGGTGGGTAACATCAGCTGGAAGAAATGCCAACTGCCTTCTTGAACGACTGAAATCATCATCCCCCCAGGAGGCCCCAGAAAGCAAGGGCAGCCTGCACCTTCACTATCTCAAGCCCCTCCTTCTTCTGAGCCCACCCTTCTCTGTGACGACGATGTTTCTTGGAGCCTGTTTCCTTAAACATGATGGGGTGAGAAAGACTGGTCTGCTGGCATGTTCTGAGGATTAAATGAAACTGCAACCCACAGGGCCTCATGCGGGGCTGTCGCCCTCTGCAGGTGGGAGCGTGACAGTCACAGCTTCCCGTGAATCATATCACTCACTCCTCACGAGGACTCTACAAGGCAGGCACCACTACCTCCATTTCTAAAGACAAGGAAACTGAGGCCCTGTGAGGTCACATGTGTGCCCTCTGTCTTCTGAGGAGGGGGTCGTGTCAGGCCGGTGGGCATGAGGAAGGGCACCTCCTTCCTAAGGGGACGTCCCTCTGGCCAGCCGCCTCCTCCGGCTGTCGCCAGTGCAGCATCACCTGCCGCCCAGGGCACAGCCTATCAGGGCCTTCCTGGAAAGGCCAGTCTGGAAGAAGCACACAGTTAGGGCTGAAACTTTCTGCCCCCCTCAAAAATCACACTGATGCCCTAACTCCTGTGGGATGGTATCTGGAGGTGGGGACTTTGAGAGGTAAGGAGGTGCAGATGAGGTCATGAGAGTGGAACCTACATGATGGGATTAGAAGAGGAAGAAAGAGAGGTCCTTATCTCTCTCCATGCCTACTCCCAGGCAGGCCATGTGAGGGTACAATGGGAAGGCGGCCGTGCTTCTCACCGTCCTCATCAGAATCTGACCACGCTGGCACCCTGGCCCTGGATCTCCAGCCTCCAGAACTGTGAGAGGTAAAGGTCTGTGTGTGGGCCTCCCAGAAGTCCGTACTTAATGAAGCAGCCCAAACCGACTACAACATGCTCCAGGAACCAGAGACCACGGTTCCACGGAGATGCTGGAACACTGCCCCAGGTACAAGAACTGCAGTTTAATCATCAACAAATCAGCAGTGCCTTGACTGGTGGGGCCAGGAAAAGTTGCCAAAGAACCCCACGTAGCAGCTAAGAAAGTGGAGACAGAACAGGGCCCAGGTGAAGACCAAGGGGGAGCTGTCAGCTGCTGGCTAGTGGGGGGCCCTGGAGGAGGCCGGTGGCCTCAGCCCTCGCTACCGTGCCCCCAGAGCAAAGGGCGCACCCCTGGAGACCTGGCTGACATTGCCTGTCAGTGGCCCTGTCTACGCAGAGATGTAGCAGGCTCCAGTGGTTCGGCAGTGGGACCAGGAGCAACGAGGGTCGCCAGACAGCCCAATACACACTGCAGCCGAGAATGAGGCCAAAGGTCCTGCTCGCCCTTCCCTCCCTCTCACCTGCTCTTGAACTGCCCTCCCTGCAGAGCAAATCTCTACTCTCTAGTCCCCAAGAAAGCCTCCCATGGCCCAGCTGGCCCAGAGTTTCCTATGCCCCAAGAGACACTGTGCCAGGAGGAGGGTAGGGCGGGGCCTGGGAAGAACACTGCCGGCTGAGAGCCACAGTCAGGGTGGCTGGTGGCAGCTAATGTTTGCCGAGCTCTTTCTGGGTGCCAAGAAGGTGTGAGAAGAGCGTGACGTAAAACATCTCTCACTCCACAGAACCCTCCCATGCAGCAGGCTCCGGCTCCACCACTTCCTGGAAAAAGAACAGCTCAGAGGTAAGCAACATGCCCACATTCCAGGAAGGAATTAGAACTTGGCCCAGACAAGCTGAGAACCCAAGCTTTGTTTGCAAATGTTTATGAAGGGCCCAGAAGGGCCTAGCCCTAGACGTGGGCACTAGCCTTGCCCCTGCAGCTTCTGTCTGGTGTCCAGTGGAGCTGAGAACCCCACCCATCCTGTATTCACCCCTGGGCTGGGCACCTCCCTCTCCATAGCACCCCTTGCAAACCATGCCAACAGGGTCTGGCCTCTCCAACTGTTCTCCAGCTGTTTATTTTTTTATTTTTTGAGACGGAGTTTCACTCTGTTGCCCAGGCTGGAGTGCAGAGTGCAATGGCACGATCTCCGCTCACTGCAACCTCTGCCTCCTAGGTTCAAGCAATTCTCCTGCCTCAGCTTCCCGAGTAGCTGGGATTACAGGCATGTGTCACCATGACACGCTAATTTTGTTATTTTTAGTGGAGACAGGGTTTCACCATGTTGGCCAGGCTGGTTTTGAACTCCTGACCTCAAGTGATCCACCTGCCTTGGCCTCCAAAAGTGCTGGGATTACAGGTGCGAGCCACCACGCCCAGCCTGTTCTCCAACTCATTAATCATCAACTGATTAAAAGACCTTGGTTCTCCTCTGCCAGAGCCTCACCACCTCTCAGCCTCAAGCCTACACCGGTGGTGCCTCCCTGATCCAGAGCCTTCCTGCAGCTCCCGTTTGGACTGCTGCCTGCGTTCTTCCTACGGAGGGGTCTCTGGGATCCCAGGGGCAGAGAACGGGTATTGGAGGTCAGTGCCTGGCTGGCTCTTGGGAAACAAAACATCCCAACTGCATCATCCACTATGCTTCCATAGTGGGTGCTGAGCAGCGCATGGTGCAAGGCTCCAAGGAGACGGACTGGCCACCACGTGGGGAGTCAGCCAGCAGTGAGGATCGGTGATCTAACTGTGAAGTTAATTCAGCTAAACAAATGAGCACCAGCCACCAGCCCTCAGAACCCGGGCCTGGAAAGAAACAGTGCCTACAGGATCCTTTGATCTGGTTATTTTGGGGAGGCTAAGGAGGCGTTTTCCTGGGCAGCAACTGTGGCTCATGGCCCCCAGGTGTGCTTGGGCCAGGACACTGTGAAGATGGGGTGCCTGCTGGCCACCATTCAGCATCAGAGAGCCACCAGGAATGCAGCCCAAGGTCACTCTTCCCCAAAGAACACAGCCCTGGAGCCATGGAATGTAGCTGAAAAGGGTGATGAGATTACAGGAGCCACAGGGGAGGGCTGGGGCAGCTGACCCTCAACAGGGCTCACACCTGTGCCTCTCCTTGATGTCAGACTTGCCCAGGCTGAGCAGGTAGCAGTGGGCCACCTCCCAGGAGGCCCAGCAGTGACCCAGGCTGACAGAGGCAGCTTTCCTCGACACCAAATGCCAGGGAAGCCAGAAACAGCACCGCACCCTTGACACACTCCCAGCAGGAGCGGCAGGGGATGGGGTGGTTGTGCAGAGCTGAAAGGGACATCTCCTCCTCCTTGTGACTCTTCCTACCTCCAGGTGTTGCAGGGACAAGAGGAGGGGTGGACCTGTCCTATCGGCTCACAAAGGAGGAAGGGAACCAAATAGTAACACATCTGAGGTGCTCACAGGGGACCCCTGGCCTCACTTGCATCCTGGCTTAGCTACTTGGTGGCTGTGTGACTGTGGGCAAGACACTCAACCTCTCTGAGTCACAGTTTCCTCATCTGTAAATGGGAGATCGCCTCTGACCGCACAGAGTTGTCATGAGGCACAGTTTCTCTCCCTTTGGGAACTTGACACTGTGTCATGTACCAAACTGAGAGATGCGCAGGAGAAAAGCTCAGGCCCCGCCCTGGCTGCAAATTCTAAGAGGAAGCGGCCTGCAGCTCCTGCCCTCTTTCCTGGCTGGTGACGTCAGGGGAGCTCTCCTGTCACCTCTGACACAGATGGCGCCATGCAGGCAGGTCACCACCCCTTCCTTCCATAAAGTCCCTCGAAGGCTGTGAAACCTGTTCGGTCTCAACACCCAGTGGAGGGGCCATGGACCATGCATCATTGCCCTCAGAGAGCAGGGACACCCAGGGAAGCAAAAGGGTGTCCCCAAATCAGTACACTGGTAAGCAGTAAGGGAGAGCGGAACCTGGCAGGGCTTTGCCCATCTGGCATCCTTCTTTCTGCATAAAGGACTGCAAACTCGCTGGGCAGTGCCAGGGGATACTGAGGAGGACGTCCAGGCTTGGAGCGGCCAACTGATTCGCAGCATCTGCCTCAGGAACGGCAGGGGCGGGGCACAGCAAGGCATCTGTCTATCATCCTGGCTTAGCCACCATCAAGCCACGTCCCTTGACGGGCCTCAGATAGAAAGCCCTGAACAAGGGGGTGCTGGTCAGACTCACAGTGATGTTTCCTAGTGTCATTAGTCCTCCACCTTGCTTTGCAGTTGAGGCACCCAGGTGACCCCTCCTCAACGAGCAAATGCCCCTCCACCAGGGCGAGGTGCTGGCGAGGATGCAGATCCTGGCCCCTCCCTTTGTGAAGCTCCCAGCCCTTCTTAAATTACACTTCCTCCTTGGTGGTCCCGAGACCTGGCCTGAGTCATTGTGGAAGGAGGCCGCAATGGGGACCCATGCAGGAACGAGGGCCTGGCTGCCAACTTCTAGGCAACATCACCATTTTCCTCAATTCCCCAAGGCAGTGGATTCCAATAATCTGAGTGGTGAGAAGGTCCTTCCTTCTCTCTGGTAATGATAAATGGCAGCTGGAGATGCAGGGAGCAGACTAGGCACAGGAGAAGCCATGGGAAAAAGGACCCCACACTCGCCTCCCAGGAGGTCAGAGCGCTCATAGAAGAATGTCAGTAGAAGGGAAAGAGCAGGCGTCTCAGGAGGGAAGAACAAGCCTGGCAGGAAGCCACCCAGCACATGGAGGCTTAGGATAAACAAATCCAACATCCACTTAGATCTGTGCAGCTGTCCACAGGTTTGTCACAGGCTTGCTCTCCTTCTGTGGCCCTGAGCCAGGGAAGAGAACCAGGGGCAGGGCCCTGTTGATGCTACAAGAAGCAAGATCTGATCCCCCGCCTCTCCCAGGCCCCAGTCATGGGCTGATCAGCTGGGGAACACCTGCGCTGCTCAACACCTCCCCTGGAAGGCGCCAGGGACCCACTTCTGCCTTCAATGAGCTCAGACTGCCAAGGAGCCATCACGGATGGCCAGGACTGCTGCTAAATCATGTCCATTTGAGAGCCCAGGTGCCCAGTGAGGTAGGGCCATGTTCCCATTCTGCTGCAAAGACGAGGAATGGGCCCAGTTGGGAGAAACTCTAGGCCACCCAGTGGGTCGGTCCTCATGATGCTGGCATGGACCCTGCGTCTGCCCAGCTCCAGGGCTTGGACAAGCCTGGAGAGTGGAATGGAGAGGACAGCTCCCTCCTTGGGCCGGGCCCACCAGGAGAAACTTGACCAAGCCCCTCACTCAAGGTCAAGACTGGGCACTCAGGGTACCATTCCCAAAGAAGTGTGTGGTGGACGGGGCTGAGAGCTGCCTGCCTGACGGCTCAGGGCAGGAAAAGGAAAAAAAACCCATGTGCTGGGCAGGTCCGTCCTGGGGCTACCCTGAGGACAGGGCCTGTGTCCTTGGCACACTGACAATCACCTGGCACATAAACCAGAAGAGAGGGAGGTGGTTCTCAGAGGCAACTACAGTCAGTCCATGCCCAGCCTGTGTCCTGCCTGGGCCAGACAGTTCCTGTTCCTGCATGAGACCCCTTAGGCCATGGGTCAGCTTCCCTCGCCTCAGTGCTGCCTCTGACAAGAGCTGTTCCCACTGGACACCAGCTGCCCGGCTTGCACGCCTCAGCTGTTCTCAGTAGCTGCTGCCTGCCTGGGAAGGCACCTGCCTCGCTGTGTGCCAGGCCCCACCCAGGAAGGCTCAGAGCGGCACAGACACAGGCCATGCCTGCCCATTGATGACATGCTCACAGAGTACGTCAGTGACGGCGGGGAAGAAGGAGCTCCTTCCCGGAGGAAGATGTGAAGCCTCACGTCACAGACACAAACTGTGAACCCCCCTTTATTCCCCCTCTCAAATCCTTAAATCCGATCTTAACTGTTTTTTAATGAAAGCACTCAGGAGGAAGGAGGAGGATTCCAGGCAGACAAAATGCCACCCTCCTACTCACCTCCTTCCCACAGGTCTCCTTGGCTGGGGACCCTGAGCTGGCAAGAGTGTGGGAGATACAAAAGGGTTCCCTGGACATAACCCACCACGACAGAGAAGAAAAGAGGTGGCTGAGTGAGGCACGGTGACGGACGCCGCCTGAAGGGCATGGTGCGTGCGGAGTCACCCCTGCAACTGCACCCCGACGCCTTCCACACAGGACTGGGTGTGCTGCCAAGCTCACCAATCCCAAAAGGCAAGGTCTACTGAGGACCAGGAGGGGCTCTAGGCCTCAGATTGAGGGTGCCCTGCCTGCCCCCAGCTCAGCAGGCTGGGCAAACCCATGCCATCCCCCATCACACTCACCTCCCCCTTCTTCACCGTCATGGACTGCCGTCGGGGTGTGATCTCCTCATTGATGCTGGATAGGAAGTTCTGTGAGATGCGGAGGGCGTCCTGCAGCAAGGGGTGGTCGGGGTGGCTGGTGGGAGTGTGCTTCAGCAAGTCCTGCCCGGGAAGACGGATGAGTTAGACACAGAGGGGCCCTGGCACCTGCCACTGTGTGCAAAGTGCAGACATGAGGTGCAGATGGAGCCCAGAGTGTTGGCTACCTCGCTGTCGCCACTGCCTCGTGTCACCACTGCCTCGTGTCAGCACTGCCTCGGGTCACCACTGCCTCAGTGTCAGCACTGCCTCGGGTCACCACTGCCTCGGGTCACCACTGCCTCAGTGTCAGCACTGCTGCGTGTCGCCACTGCCTCAGTGTCAGCACTGCCTCGGTGCCCACATTGCCTCGGTGTCATCACTGTGTCATGTCACCACCGCCTCTCTCACTTGGGCCGGCTGTGCGAGCATCTCTCACCTGGGCCGCACTTGTGGGAGCAACATCCCAGAAGCAGGTTCTGGATGTGATCCAGCAAAGCTGGCCGCATGCACATGGTCAGGCGGGGCTCCTCTATAAGGCTCTACGGTAGGGTTTCTCGACCTCAGCACTGCTGACATTTTGCGTGGAGTAATTCTTTGTTGGGGGGGGAAAGAGAGAGCTGTCCCTTGCACTACAGAATGTCCAACGCCACCCCAGACCTCTACCTATTAGATGTCAGCAGCTTCCCTCGCGGCTGCAGCTATGACAACCAAAAGAAATGTCGCAGAACACTGGTGCTGCATGCGCCCTACAGAGCCCTGGTGTCGCGTGCGCCCTACAGATCCCTGGTGCCACGCGTGCGCCCTACAGAGCCCTGGTGCCACGCGTGCGCCCTACAGAGCCCTGGTGCTGCGCGTGCGCCCTACAGAGCCCTGGTGCCGCGTGCGCCCTACAGAGCCCTGGTGCCGCGCATGCACCCTACAGAGCCCTGGTGCTGCGTGTGCCCTAGGGGGCAGTTTTGGTCCCAGTCAGGAGGGGTGCTGTGACTCACATGGAGGACCAGCGTGCTCCTCGTCACACGGTCCACAGGCTTGTAGAGCAGAGCTGTGGAGAGAGAGGAGTGGTGAGAGAGGCCACACGTGGACACACACCAGCTGCCCGAACACCCTCAGTGCAAGGGTGAGTGGGGAGGGGGCTGCCCCAGCCTCCACAGGCCCCATCTCCCCTCTGCGCAGTGACAAGGGCAAGGCTACAGCACACACCCGGAACACTTTGAGCTTTAAGCCCTGGACATTGATTGCATGTGGAGTCCAGGGCAGCTCGTCAGACCCGGGCCTGCATGGCTGGCTCAGTGACAACAGCTAAAAAGGCTCAGCACTGCCACTCCTGGGGTTAGGGAGCCCACCCTGGCAAGGATGGGCTAGGGAGGGCCCCAACTCTGGAGGGAGACCTGCTCTCCAGCCCAGAGGGTACATTGAGAGCAGACCTCTTGGCTGCCCTTACCATCAATCCCGGGACGTTTCAGA